TGCAAAGGTCTCCCAGGGAACAACTTCCATCTGATCATGGCTCTGAGGTGAGGCTCCTCATGGCCAAAATGCCAGGAAATGACTTCACAGCCCAGCTGTGAAAGCAAGCAGCCTTTGGAGTTTTACAGCCATTAAATCCTTAAAATATCATTTCCCAAACCCCCCTTCTCTCCCAAAGAAAATACATTAACTCTGATTTTGCTTCCAACTACTGTTCTTTGGGCAACTAGCAAATGTGGAAATAGCAGATTCAAGTTTTGTGTTCCCCCTTTGATTTTTGTGTCCACAAGACGCTATTTAATTGATTTCATTCCCACATCAATGTAATAGATTCAAATATATTATGTCCACATTTAAAGTGATGTTGTATGCTGAAAACATGAATGCCCAAAATAACGGAATAAGTCTGCATTTGACAATCATTTTCTCGGTGAGGTTCTGCCAATAGCACAGCCATCCTGTAAGAGGAACAGAAGGCACTGACAATCATTTTCCCGGTGTGGTTCTGCCAATAGCACAGCCATCCTGTAAGAGGAACAGAAGGCAGCTGGAGACGTGCTAAAAGCTGGGCAGGAAGCGGGTGGAAAGAAGACACATGTTTGCAATCTGTTCAGAGTCTCATCCTAAAACTTCTTAATATATCGGCGATAGCACTGGTAGAAAAATAGGATGCCGTGTCTGAGTCAAACAGCTCCAAACCAAAATCAAACTCACTGTCACGGAGTCGATGCGGCCTCATCGTGACCCCAATAGGACAGGGTAGAACTGTCTCAGTGGGTTTCTGAGACTGTAACTCTTTACAAAAGTAGAAAGCCTCCTTCTTCTCCCCACGGAGCAGCTAGTGGTTTGGAACAGCTAACCCTGAGGTTAGCACCCCAAGGCATAACCACTCTGCTACCAGGATTCCTAGACATGGCGTTAGTCTTTCTTGTCTTAGTCTCACTGATAGTCAAATAATATGAAGACCTTGAAGGTTAAACTATTAGCAACTTTCTCTTTCTCCATGACTACACCTCTGGCTAGTTTCTACTATGAGCAGCTGCTGGGTGCAGCTCTGAATGTCCTGAGGCTGTAAAATCTTTATGGCAGCACAGAGTCTCAACTGTTCTCCCGCGGAACGGCTGGGTGAGTTCGAACTGCTGACTTTGAGGTAAGCAGCCCCACGTGGCACCCAGCAGGGCACGCTGAGTCAGACTGACTCAAAGGCAGTGAGGTGGTGTGTGGGGGCGAGTGTTTCTAAGGACTCTTCCTTGTGAGGTGTCATGTGTGCTGGTCTCCCCTAAAGCAGTCCTTAAGAAAGAGGCACATAGATCGCACCGTGGTTCTCTGCGGACCCTGTTTGTATGTGTCTAAGCACAGCTGGGTACTTAGAGAATCTGTATGGGAGGTTCTTTATGCCATTCCATGACACATGGAATAATTCATTCTTAAAAAAATATATATCAGGGGCTCGTACAGCTCTTATAACATTCCATACATCAACTGGATCGAGCATATTGGTACATATGTTCCCATCATCATTTTCTAAACACTTTCTATTTGAGCCCTTGGTATCAGCTCTTCTTTTTTCCCTCCCTCCCCGCCCCCCAATTCAGACATTCTTGGGACAAATTCTAGCAACTTCCTGCACAGAAGCAGTTCTGCTACACTGAAATGTTAGGTGACTCGTGAACATACCGGATGGCAGATCTAGGAGGTGTGCCCTGCTGGATCGGTGAGGATATATTATTACAAATTAAACTGGAAGTCCCAAATGGCTACAGTATAAAATCTGAGGGCTTCAGAGTCTGAATTCTTGAAATCACTCAGTTCCAACTGCTCTTTGAATTGTCTGCCGTTACCACTCTTTTCTAACGCACAAAGCTCTCCTCGCTCCACATAACGGTTGCCCGCTCACAAACATGCACCTCGTATGGCAGTCCTGGTAGTGCAGGGGCCACACGCTGGGCTGCGAGCCAGCCACAGGTTACCAGTGGGAATCCCTCATTGCTTCTCGGGATTGGAAGGAAAGACTGTGTGCTGCTCCGGGTACAGCGTCACAGCCTTCGAAACGCAAAGGACTTGTTCATCCCTGTTCAATCGAATCACTCTGAGTCAGCAGTGACTCAATGGCGGTGGGGTAGGACTTGGTCTTATCAGACAACAGAGGAGATACACACACACACACTCCCTGCCTTTGGAGTAATGCCATTGGACTGCGATGTTCGCAGATTGAGCCCACCAGCCCCCCGAGGGAGAAAGAGGGGGGCTTTGTACTCCCGTAAACAATTGCACGACTCTCAGCAACTCAAGGGGGCCAGAGTTCTACCCTGTCTTACAGGGTCACTGTGAGAGGGCAGAGTTAGCAAGCAAGCATGCATCGTAGACTGCACTCGCAGCAAAGCCAACAACACATCCATGAAACCGTCCCGGGCCTCTTAGCAGTTACGTCATTTGATCAGACACTTAAAATAATCCGATCTGATGTATGCAAATGACTTTATTCAAATTGACAACCATAGTCTCAGGGATATTACAAGGAGCCTTCCCTTTTCAATACTCAATTAACCATCTAATACAGGAATTTATAAATGACTGATGATAAGGTCTGATTTTCGTAGTAGTGTCAAAGTCATTCCCACGTGACCGTCTTAATGCTGAAGAGGAAATGTGTAAGAAATTGTCGAAACCAGGGAGGAAGGTTTAAGCAGCAACCCTGAAGCCCATTGGGTGTCAGCAGCAAGTCCCTCCCCTTACTATGACAATCAGAGGTCTCTCCAAACAAGGTGAAATGCCCCTCCCCCAAAGGGGGGGGCTGGAGAGGGTGGGTGAAATTGCCTCAATTAAGAACCCCTGGTCTAACCGACATTAAGTCCTCTCTTCTACGACACAAGGATTACATTTATTTTTCACTTATACAACTCCATCAAATAAACGCAAAATCTAAAGATGACGTAATGCATACATGGTCACTAAGCAATTATTTGCTCTCTTTTGAACCAGCTTCCATTTATTTATTTTTTTAAAAATTTATTCCCGGTCAGAAGAACTGGAGCCAATACTTTTAAAATAAGTCATTTGTTTACTTCCTCATGGCTCATAACTGGGAGGCTCTCATACTTCCACCGCGGCAGACCCAAGGTCGGCCCCTTTGCTCTTTGGTCCAAAAAAAAAACAAAACCAAGCATTATCGCCGGAAATGCTCCCGAGCACAGCCAAGGTTCTCACACAGGCATTTTCTCCAGCACCACTTAGGCACACCTTGCTTTTATGGACTTGTGGTTTCCACCGAAACAAGTTGTTCTGCATACTTCTTCCTACTGCTAAGTACTTGACCTCCCGGCTGCCGCTGGGAAGTGTTTTCCCATCCCTGGGAGCGAGGCTTGGGTGCCGGGTTTTCCTTAACACTTTAGAAGCAGTGTCCGTCGTTCCAGAACACACACACCACACAAGCTCGGCACTCGCTGACGGACATGTCCACACATACAAACACGGGCAATGGGGGTTCAAAGCTGGCTGTGATTTGTTAAGAGAAAAGCGCTTTAACTCTTAGGACGTGGTACCACTTTAATAAGAGAGTAGGCTACCAAAGCCAAGCACGGCTTTGCCCATCAGATAGGTCTTGGAAAGAATATTCTGCCCGGAAGAAATCAGTCTGCGCAAACATTCCTATCTGCTGGGCATGAGGCCTGGCCGTGCGTGCTGGAAAATGGAGCCGTTGACTTGTGGTGCGGAAGACCAAGGCCGCACAAGGGCTTGTCAGTCCCTCAGGTACACGGCCGAGTCGGCCCTACTTCTCCATTGCTGGGTAGTTGATAAAAGCCTGCTCAGCACTACGAGATACACATAGGTTCAACAGTTGGTTTGCTGATAAATATGCAGAGGTAGACTTTTAAAAACCCATTCTACCTTGCATGTTTAGGTTTTAGTATTAGAAGTCCACGCATCTTCTCAATTATTTTTATAGATCGCTATTCACTTTGCCTCCCGCCCAAAAAAATAAAGTCATTTTTAAAATCAGTCAACTTTTAGTAACTACTAACGCTGTAACGCAGACATATTAACCACATAAAGCGCGCCATCAAATGGGTATAAGCTGACTTTCCAATTTTTTCCCCATTACTTCTCATCTTAAGAGTATGATGTTCATATTCTCTCCTGGAAAAATACTTGGGGGTGGGGAGAAGTGAGGCACAGTAGGGTGCAGAACCATAATGATAAGGATGCAGTCTCTCTTGCAAAATTAAATCACTTTTCTGTCACACTGATCATGTAACATGAGTGTATTACTGATTCCCTCCGAGCAAATTAGACTTATAGGGGGGAGGAACCTATCACAAGGGCCCGAACCCAGATTTCCTGGAGCCATTCCTCATGCACAGACACCATTTTTCCATGAACACCCCCATGGTTCGTTCACCTGCCCCCACATTCACCCGCACTTTCACTTTCTCCTTCGTATTATTAAAATGCTGCGAAACCGTTCGAGCTCTTTAAGAAAATCATCGGAAGCGACACAAGGTTGTTGGCATTCCTTGTTGGTTCCAGGCACTGCAGCCTTGCAACTCTGAAGATTGTCTCTTTCATTGCTGTCCCTACTCGGATTTTTTAGATTAGCAATATGTCTTCATTCCAAGTATAAGACCAATGATTTTTTTAAGAATCCCCATCTAACTCCGTAAGCTATTGGAGATCTCAGCTCACTTTATAAGCGCCCAGAGCCTCCGCACCATTAGTTACCAAACACTACCACGTTACCTAAGAATGAAAATACAAACTTCCCTTTCAGTTAGACTAAAGATATAAACTACCACCATCCACGGTGAGTTACAGATGACAGGCAGCTTCACAGTCGAAGTCTGTGTGTTTAAAATTTTTAAAGGCTATTTTTGAATTAGAAGAGACGGTGGGGGGGGGGGGCTGATATTGTTCAGGAATCACCAACTCTCAGCATTCTCTTCCCGGCAGCCACCAACCAGCCCAGAGTCCATAAACTATTTAACATCCAGGTGAAACTTACTTGAGGGTGACCCGGTTGGATAAATCCTGTAGATCCCCGGGATGAAAAAGCTGGGCTTCTTTCAATCCGATCTGTTCACAGGCTTTCAAAAAAACGTTGATATTATCCTGTGGAAAGAGGTGGAAAGTGGTTGCTTAGCCCAGCAGCTCACTATCAAAGGTTACCAATCTTTATGATAGAATTCCAGGCTTCAAAGTCCAATTACACGCCGCAAAGGAAAAAGAAAAAAGGCAGCAAGAATGACAGGCACGTATATCTCAAAAAAGAAGACAAACTGTTTTTAACTACATGGCACTGCCATTCCGATTGAGCCCCTCCAGAGGACAAACACGAGTGCTACCGTATGCCCGGACACACGCTGTTTCTGGTGCTCTCTCTGGCTGGCTCGTTAAACATTACCTGTTACAGGACAAGTGCCCAGCCACTGAGCAGTCGTCTACAGTTTGATGTCAGCTCAGCTCTGCAAACAACCGCCCTCTTCCCAGCTTTGCACGGCAAGCCTCACCTCTCCTCTTTAAAAATAACTCCGGCTACTGACACTCACCCACCCAGAAACTGTTGGCAGGGAGGAAATAGGAGGAGGAACATTCTGTTTCTTTGATTACAGAAATTACAGCACGGCGGTGGAATACCACACCTGGAATCTGGGTTTGGCTGCTGAGCCGGCTCTTGACAGACGGGGAAACCACACTGTAAGGAGCCAGGGGAGGTCAGCTTTCATTGGCTAACGAGTCTAGTTTGGGTGGGGTATCCCTGCACCTGCCTGGAGAACGGCCCCCCCAAAAGGAAAACCTCTCCCTGCACCCCCCAACCCTGCCCTAATCATCTCATATCAACACCCAAACCTTCCATTCACAAATCAGCACTCTCCACTCCTGTCGGCTGCAGCGCCGTCACACTGACCGGCTGCCATGCCACCCTGCCTGGTCACGGTCAGCTGGCGTGGAGAGAACACATTTGCTTTGCAATTAGTGCAGCCTTCCACCTTGACGACTTAGGCACATAAAATAAGGTGTGTGCTGCCGTGACTCTGGGCTTGCGATGGCTCCACGTGGACTCCCTCTCTCCACGTCAGGCAAGCGAATGGCCTGCGGGCATGCCAGCGCACGTCGGTCCACTTAGGCGCTGGCACCACCACTTGTGTGGTGTGAGCTCCCTGAAACCTCACTCCCACCCCCACCCAGCCCTCCCAGCTGGCTCTGCCTCTGAGACCAGAGACAACCTGCCACTTAAGAGACAGGCAATTACTGTTTTCCCCAAGCTCAAGAGGCTCGTCCCCATGGGAAGAAAATCAGGGTGGACCAAGCAAAGAGGGGAGGGAAGGATCCGAGAAAGGAAGGAAGGAAAGAAGATGAAGGCATTGCCATTCAAAGGCACCGATTCCTGGCCAGTGAGGGGCAGGCGGGAAGTGGTCATGCAAATGAGTGGCAACAGAAATGCCACTGTAGTTGCTAGGGACACTACCTACCTACAGGGCATGAAAAGCAAAAACAAAACATGGGCTATAGAGTGAACAATTACTGGAGGGAATGCTGGGTAAAAGCGGTCCCAGGATTCATATTCTCAGCTACTGACGGTAAGAAAGCTTGGAGGTTCAAGTCTCCACCCCAGCGTGCCTTGGAAGAAAGGGCTGGTGATCTACTACTGAAAAGCGAACTACGGGAAACCTCACAATGCACATCTCTGACACACACGGAATAGCCCGAGCTGGAGGCCAGTGCCACAGAACGGGAAGGTTCTTCTCAGTACAGCACGCTACACGCTACCGGACTGCCAGATGAAATGCACGATGCCTGCTACATTAGAACAGGTCAGAGATGACAGGAAAGTCAGGAGGGGAACAGCTGTGCGAGGGGTGCAGGTCTGAATTTATGGGGGGCAGAGGGAGAAAGGGACAGATTTCAGGGACAACATTTCAGGAGAAGAAGGAAGTGATCGTTTTCCTGTTCCATTCGCATAATTTCTAAACGCTGTACTTTTGGTAAATAGCAAATTTTTCAAGTGAATGATTCTGAAACTGGTCTTTTGAGAAAGGGTCAAGAACAGCTATTTTAGTGGCCTGTATCTTATAAGATGCAGTCTTTTTTCAAAAGAGAAAAAGAAACCATTAATAGTCTTCCCATCAATTCAGGGCGGTTCTGAATATCCTACATATTTTCATGCCAAAGTTTAAATGAAAATAAAGCTATTAATAAACAGCCACGATAATTCCTCACATAGTTGATGAAAACATAGTAGCATTCATCCGACTGACAAATATGTACAGATTGATAAGAACTATGAAAGACGCACCCACCTTGGAACCTTTAAGTATTTAAAAATAAATCACTTATAGTCTTTAAGTGGCTACTCTTAATTGGAAACAAAGTTTAAGAAAAATAGATACTATTGTGGCTTCCGTGGTTACACATTGGGCTTCTATCTGCAAATTCTTCGGGAGAAAAGGTTTTCTGCTTCAGTATAAAGAATTACAGCCTCCAAAACACTGCCCTATAAGGTCGCTATGAGTCACATCAACTTAGTATCAGTGTGTGTTTCATTTGGACACAATAAATATGACTCAATTTGAATTTTAAAGAAAGCCTTTATATTAACTAAAAAAGCACGATACCATTTCGCTTCTCAGACTTTTGGCTAAGATCAAGTGTAAAAAAGCACGATACCACGTATGTAGTTGAGGCTCCCTTCAGTTCAAAACTGAAAGTCTTTATACACAAATCCGCACATGACCTACGCAGCAAGAACTAAGATCAGAATTACAGCCCAAGTCTTGCTTACTGGGCTGGAACCCAATAGTAATGATTTTTTCCCTTTAATATTTCAAAGGACCAAGGCAGAGAGTTGCCTCGGGGCAAGATATAAAATGTTCATGTCTGTTGTAATATTACAAAGCCACACCCAGCTCAACATATTAAAAAGGACTCATCTCATCCTCATTCCACATAATCATTTTCACTTGAAACCATCAAATATAAACAAAATAAAGGATAGGTTGAAACAAATCTACTCTAACTGGTCCGGTGGCCAAGACTCCAGGTTACCTCTTTGCCTAACCAGTTGGGTGATCTTGGAACAAGGCGTAAGCCTTTCTGCCCCCCCTTTTCTTCGTATGGAAAATGAGTAGCTGGGCCCCAAGCCCACCTGTAAGATAATTGGACAATCCAATTATCTCAGAAGGGCCATACAGAAGGGATGAAAAATCCAGGTGGTGGTATAGAACTATCGTCTAGTCCTTTCATATTTCTTCCCATTACTATTATGGTTTTTATTTTACCACATTAATCATGTTAGATTCATGTATGTTCATTTGTATATCTAAGATCTTTCAGTACATGAAAGCCAAGTTAGATAACCCTTCAGAAACAGTAACAGGAGTAATAGTTCCCTGAGGGTACGGGAAGAGAGGAAGAGGAAGGGCGGTGCAGGGAGAGAATAGTATTGATGGGTATATAACCCCACTCGATGGGATCAAAAACAGAATCGTATGTGAATGGATATACTGGATTGCGTAAGATATGCACCCCCCCAAAAAAAACTAATATAGAAAAAATAAATAAATAAGGGTTCCTGTGGGGCAGAGTAAGGGAGGGAAGGGATAAAGGAGGGCTGATATCAAGGACTTTAAGAAGAAAGAAAATGTCTTAAAATTGAATTTAGTAGCAATACTAAATACAAAATACAATACTGCTTGATGTGATTGAACTATAGAATGTTATGACATCTGTAAGAGCTCCCAATAAAATAAGAAAGAAGAGGAAATAAATAAGTAGTTGGAGGCTTTGCAGCCCATTATCAAGGACAAATAACACACTTAAAACGTGCAGGGGGACATCGGACTGTGTAAGACACGACAAAATAATAACTTATAAATTATCAAGGGTTCATGAGGGAGGGGTGTAGGGAGGGAGGGGTGTAGGGAGGGAGGGGAAAAAGTGAGCTGATACCAAGGGCTCAAGTAGAAAGCAAATGCTTTGAGAATAATGAGGGCAACAAATGTACAAATGTGCTTGACACAATGGACGGATGTAAGGATTGTGATAAGAATTGTACAAGCCCCAAATAAAATGATTTTTAAAAATAAATTTTAAAAAATTAAAAAGTGCAGGGAGGGGGAATTCTATTGTCTATTCATCCCACTTTTCCCCAATCTTTTTATTTATCATTTTTGATGTATATTATTAATTGGAAGTTAATACATATATAATTCCATAGTTCAATCACATCAAGCAGTATTGTGCAATTGCTACCACAATCCATTTTCAAACATTATTTTTCTTCCTGAACTCCTTGATATTGTCTCCCTGTACCCACCCCTTCCAAAACCTTTATTCTATTTGCTGTCCCTATAGGTTCATCAGTCCTGGATTTCATACACGGAAACACAGAAAAATATAACACAACTTCTGGAGGGTGATCCCCAATAACATAACACCTCTGAGATAAACCCTAATATGAACCAAAACAAGAATACAGAAAATCCACAAACTTTTGGTAGTACCTTCATCCTTCTTTCCCACCAGAAGGGAAGCCCAGCCCTCTAAGTAGCCCCCAAAAGCCTCCCAGCCATAAAACACTGTACGACAAAATTCTGCTCTAAGCATTCCCACACTTTAAAGAACCAAACATCAGAGTCTCAAACACAAACCCCAAATAGAGAGGGTCTTTGAAGAACTCTACTACCTCCTTTAGTTAGTTGACAGGCTCTCTGCGCCTCTGAATTAAGCACTGGAAACCTAACCCACAATGACGGCGGAGATTTCCACGCACCCTTGTCCCACGTGGGTCGAGTAGAACTTCCCTGTAGAGCTTCCCAGCCCATCTGCCTGTGGACGCTGAACGAGGGATAAGTTGGACCAAAGAAGAATCAATCCCTCTAAAGTATGGTGCTGGCGCAGAATATTACATAAGCCATGGAAGCCAAAGGGACAAACAAAACTGCCTTGGGAGCAGTACATCCAGAAAGCTCCTTAGAAGCAAGAATGGAAAACCTTGGCCTCGCATAGTTTGGACACCTCCAAGGGAAGAACCACTCCTGCAAAGGACAGGATGCTTGGTGAAGACCCCTGCCACCCAGGCAATGGCGACTCATAGCTTACCCGCGGACGGT